CTCAACAAGATGGCTCTTTCACTTAAGATTCTGGGTATATGCTTCTTCAGGTGGATAAAAGCGTATTTCACTTTGCGGTTAAAGAGCCTTCACAAAGGCCTCGAGGATAATTGAAGTTGTGATGCAGCCAAAATTATCGAAAATAAAATAAGAGTTTACGTAATACGGCCATGTCCGATAAGGATGGAAATGCAATTAAGCTCAGGTAGCTAAAATAGGGCTGGCCATCCTCATTCTAAGAACGGTTAACTGGCATAAATTCAGCTTTTTAACTTTCAATTTCCTTTTGATTTTGGGGCACTATATACCCCATTTTTAAGATATCACAAAACAAATCATACTGGATTTACGGAATTCGAGCATTTTTTTCGCCCATAAGGGGCCTGAGAATATCTTATCGAAGCTGGAGCAGAGAACTAGGCCACATCGGAGCTAGCCGGTTCGGCAAGTCTGTAGCATACCTCGTCTCCTGGTCTCGTAGAGTTTGGATGTATTTTCTAGCTTGCAATATCCACACGATTTAAAGTCCCTTTCAAAATGTTGTCTCATCAGTATCTTCGTTAATTTGGCTTTCCTGAGCTCCTGATTGGTCCGACGATGGTGAAATAAATGGGATAGTTGGCTCGGCCTCGACTGGGGTCGAGAACCAATGATGCCTGACCGATTAATTTGTGTGACCAGTCGTCTCCAGCTGAAAGATAGCAAATTTTCTTCAGACTTCGCTGAGGTGGGAAATGAGATTTTAATGGGATGTGAAAATATATTTGAACCTTTTAGGAAATTCCACAAGTTGTCTTCATTTCTAAGAATCTTCAGCAACATTTAAAAGAATGGAGGCTCTCAAAACTCCAGAAATGGCTTGATCCTAGTGTTTGTTCTTAAGAAAGTACGAAACTCCGGCTAGCCTAACCACATCTCCGCCAAAATGTCTTTCAATTTGCTTCCAAATTGGTACTATCCACATAACAACAGAATTTCTAACCATTCATCATCCCCTCAGGAGCCCGAGCAAAAGTGTTCTGCGCATCCCTGCCTGCTGCGCATATCGCCGTTTGGTGTACTTCTGATTCAGCCAACAGCAAAAGTCAACCTTGACTACAACTGGTAAGTCTGACACTTGTTGATTTTATAGATCACCGAAGTCATGCTTGAAACTTCTTTATGCACATCTTTAAATATTTTAGATTCAAGTAAATTTTGCAAGTATGCTCTCATTTTATGCTGAAGCATTTTTCTTAATATTCTTGAGCTCAACTATTTCACACGTCTGTTTCGGTATTTTCAGTGAAGAGATGATTTTTTAAGAAGCTTGTTTCTCAGTTTTCATGCAAAGGAGTATGCTGCAGAATAGCAACTGAACGAGGTATTCAGTAATTTCCTATTCAGGTCATTGTCATGGAAACGCTTGGAAGTAGGCTTGAAATCGTTCTTAGCCTGTCCGATCGGATAGGCGTTAGTGACAATATTTGTGGTGATATTCATTGTGAGCAAGTGAAATTTGGAGGGAACTAGTTTCAATATCATTGATCATGTAAACAAAATCCTAATTAATGTGCACCTCAGTGATCAACATTTTAGAGACTTATTGCCTCTTCAACTTTAGATATCCAGAAATGGGTTGACCTCGTTGTCGCAACTTGATCTTGTTGTCAGGGCGACTTAGTAGAACGCACCTAGTCCGAAG